AAGAAATGGATTCTGTATCAGTAAGACAATTCATTGCAGAAGCTGATGTCTCTTTACAAGATAACAGCTGAACACTGCATTTAAGCAGAGTGGTCATATCCGTAAATTGATATCTTGAGTTATTAGCACTATCTACATGAAAGAAGTTTCAATTCATTCACGGGCAGACAGCAAGTTTCCACGAAATTCACAACCTTAGGAAGAAACATACAGCAAGTAGGCAAAAACAAGTTAAGACATAGCAATGAAAGGATATTGACAATACTAAAAGCAAATTGACCACACCCCAAAGCGCTAGTAGCCAACCACATGCTCTTTGACTTGTGAGTAAGGACAATGCATTTGCCAACGAGAAGTGCTGGCATTGTATTTCACGGTACATCAGGTTCTTCTTGGGATCCAGACAGATTTGCTATGTCCTCATACCAAATTAGGTGACTACACTGAAAACAACTGCCTTCCCTTTCCCAAAAAACAACAACAACAATAACAACCACGCCCAGTAAAATTCCACAAGTGGGGTCGGGGGAGGGTAGTGTGTACCCAGACCTTACCCCTACCCCTACCTGGGGTAGAGAGGTTGTTTCCGATAGACCCATGGCTCAAGAAGACGAAAAGAGACAATAGATCAGTAACAGCAACAGAGGCCAGAAAGATAATACCAGCATCGCAAGAACCAGAAAATAGAGGGGAAAAGCAATAACAATAACCAGTAACTATGGCAAGTTACTATGAAAATGGAAAGAACACCCCTTTCCCAAAAAGGAGGGAAAAAATAACAAAGGATAACAGGAGGAAAATAACATATCGATGCTTAAAATAGGAATACGGTATACTGGAGGAGATGACACAAAGGCGGGAATACAGAGGAACAATAAAAGAAATGTGGAAAGGGGATTGATTGAAGTGAAGAGGAATAGAACGTAGCACCTTCTCATCAGAAAATAAATAAGTATGGCATGTGTACACACCTAATAGTTAGTTCATTAACAGAAATGATATGTACTAATTTTCCCCACATACCTTCAGATTGATGACAGCAACTCTATTAGCCGGGGTGGAAAGCTGCTCGCTTATATAAGCCATAGACTTCAACATGGGCTCTAGTGTGACACGCGATAGCTGAAACTTAACCTCTGATTCTCGTGAAAGAGTCCTACTGTAATCTTGCAGCTACAACCAACGAAAGTTAGTAAACAATAATAAAATTATCAAACCCATGACATATCAGCATATAACTGAAATTAAATAACAGCACGCGAGGTCACAAAGTTGCCGAAGGAAGAACACTCTTCCATCGCTATCCAAAAAGCATTTCAGTTACATTATATAAACAAAAAGTAATCAATTCACCAACATGATAATCTTTCTTAAGGAAAAACTTTAAAAGTTGAACTAAAATCAAATTATACACAAAGCACTGAAACACACCTTCAGGTTGATGACAGCAACTCTATTCGCAGGTGTAGAAGTTTTATTCTCCATCACCCAAGTCATTGACTTGAGGCAAGGAAGAATCACCTATGAACCCCCAAAAAAAAATAGCACACAGCTTGACTTAAGAAATCTGCTAGTCAAATTAAATAAGATAAAAATGAATCTCAGTACCGTGTTATCTGCATGACCATCACCACGGTGAAGAGACACAGGGGCCATGCGCTGGGCATTTAAATCAGCAATAGTCCTAGCAGGAATACCAGTGTCATTAAGATTAAAGCGCTTTGTCATTTCATCTTGCCGTGGCCACAATAATGGCGTCATTTCCGGAGCAGAGGCAGACATCCTCCGATCATCGTAGCCAACACCGCTAACCTGTGAGCTAGGAGGTGAAACTTTAGCAACATTTCTTTTTGCAAGAGCCACCTTCTTTCCTCCTTCTTTAAGAGCAGCTAATGCAGCCTTATATGTTTCTTGAGCTACAGCCCCTTCTTCAGCGTATCTTATGGCTTCCCTGCAGAGACTGTTGTATTTCTGTGCCATCGATTCGGTACCATGTAGTTGTACATGATCATCTGATTCAGCACGGCATTTTGCATTTATTGTCCACCGCTTCAAGATGTAATGAGATGGCAATGTAAGAACATTAGTTACTGTAAAAACTGTAAGAATATGTCTACAGAGGATACCACTACATTCAAACATCTGGCAACTACAATTTGCTTTCAGTTCAGATATATTCAGCGAGACAACGTATGCTTTCTGGTCATCCTCAAATTTTGCAACCCTGAATGTGCTGAGAGCCCCATCTCCATCAATTCTGTTTGCAGTGTAGACAAATGTCTCCACTAACTCTTCTTGAAATTTTAAGAATATTTTCTTCGTGTATAAAGTTGCTGCCTGTTTCTCCATAGGAGATGGTGTCCTTAGTGGTGGAGTAGTGCATATTGTATCAAAATCGGCTTCTATTTCCTTCTCAAATGAATTCTCCAAAGCTCTTTCATACTGCCTGAAGAACAATGGCAGTGTAATTTGTTGATTCACATAGCCATCGAAAAATGAGCATTCATATTCCTGGTTAGGAGAGAGGGCTGCAAAGAAAGTATCACGAAAATAAGCCGGTACCCACTGCCGACGTGTATTATATATGGATTGAAGCCAATCATTCTTCTTTAGATCATACTTTTCAAGGATTGTCTCCCAATATGATTCAAATTCTTCAACTGTCTCCGTCAAATTGATACAATTATAGAGTTCAACTTGAAAATTTGGGTACATGTGACATACATGAGCCATTCTGTCCTGGCCACCCCTTAATACATGCCACTTGTTGATACAATGCCGTGTTCCAGGAAAAACTTGAGCAACTGCAGATTGTATAACAGTGTCCTGATCAGTAATTATGGAGACAGGGGCACGGTCATTCATGGCAGCAAGGAAGGTCTTGAATAGCCAGACAAATGTAGCCTCAGACTCATCTAGAAGAAGTGCACAACCAAACAAAATTGTCTGACCATGATGATTTACTCCTGTGAATGGAGCAAATGGGACTCTGCACTGATTAACTCTGTACATTGTGTCCAGTATAACGGCATCACCAAAATGACTATATGCATTTCTTGACCTTGCATCAGCCCAAAATACATTAGCCATGCGATTATCTTTGTCCAATTGTATGGCATAGTAAAATCCAGGATTCTCAGCCTGCATTTTCTTGAAGTAATTAAGAAGATTCTGAGCAACTCTTCCTAATGTTCTTCGTTGATTGCATTGTCTAGGAGAAAAACTCTGAGGTACATTATCCTTAACTGTTTGATCTGACTCTGCAGAACGAGTACTCTTAGCTCCGCGGTTAATCTCTAAAGGGATGCGGTTACCATCTACAGAGACATACATTACACCACTAGGAACAATTCCTACACCCTGATTATTCTCAGGTCCATTCTTTTTTGCCACCGCAAAATGCCTGTGTGATGTGTGGTAATGCACCTTATTAGGATGCACAAGGGAGTGACTATGCTCCTTCATATATTTGGTCACAACCCACTTGTTTTGACCTTTTAACTCCACTCTAAGCATTGCATCACAGGATTCACCGTACACTGTTCTCAAACCATTACATAAGAAATCAGTCTTCAGTCGATTAAACTGATAGACATGGGTGGTAAAACCCAAACGCCTAGCATATTCATCATAGAAATTCTTAGCCTGATCTTCAGAATGAAATACCATACCCGTTTGTGGCTCAACAACCTCATCCCGTTCAGGTGCATTTGATCTTCCATTAACATTTGCTTCTCCACTCTCGCTGGGTTCATCATCACCGTCATCAGTTATGCCACCTTGGTGTTGCATACTCCCCTGTTCGACATCAATCACTTCAACATCCATCCCAGAACATGTAAACCACTTTAGAAAAACGCATCACATCTCTAGAGGTGCTCCAGCACATATCCCTGAAGATGCCATACATAACCATGTCACGACCTATTTAGCTGCTATTCTTTTCAGCCTACATTTCATTTATTTACCATGTATCTTCATGTTACAAATTCAGTTAACGAAGTTGAGAAAAGTAAAGCAAGCATGAGTACTGTAATTCAACAACACAACTGTAATAACATAAAACATGCAAAGATAATTTCAGCTCAATAATGGATTTAGAAGCTCTACTTTGTCATAAATTTTGTACAAACAGTTGGCCAAAACCAAATGAGATATTAGCATAATGTTCCTTAATTGACTTCAATCACCAACTATTCATCTAAAATCACCCATTATATCCCTTAAGAGCTCATACAAAGTACTTCCTCTGTCCTTTTTTATATGACACTTTTACTACGGTCAAAAGCATTTTATTCTGTGACTACAAGTTTTCAAACATCAAATTACATTTTAAATCATAAAAAAGTCGTATTAGCACTTTCATGTGGCTTCTAAATATGTATTTAAGAAAACGAAGTTGGAGCTAACGCCATAATTTTACTCTGCGCATAATTAAACTTAATTTGCTGTTTGATACTTTATAGACTTCACTTAATCAACTTAAAATCATACTCAGTTATAAAATCTCGAAAAAAAAAATATTCACTGAATACACCTTAAACCTCCCGCAGAACAAATCATGCAGTTAAAGGTCCATATGTATAGTCCCGGACACGCACACATACACATACATAAGTACATATATACATATACAAGTATATATGTGTATGTATCTATGTTTGAGAGAGAGAGAGAGACCTCTGATCGGAGGAGAGAGAATTAAGGCCAAACGGATCTCAAACAATTTTGCGGTATGAAAACGGAAGTCCAAAGTCGTGTGAATTCTTTAGAACAATTAAAACGACGGCTTTTGGAAGGAATTTACAGAGTTCAATTGGGGCACCGGCGGGCAAAGTTGCAGAGGGCGGACGAGGAAGAAGAAAACGGGGAGAGTTAGTGGGTGTCGTGTGGATTACCAATGAACCTAAGCGCACGCGAACTTTCAGCCGTTTGATTAATATTAACGGTGAGATATTAATCTAGAAAATACCTACTTGTACTTTACGTCAAACTTATGCTGAGATTAAACGTAGGACCCCGAGGTTGCAGGTTTGGCAGAATTACTTACTATTCACTACTACCAATTTACCTTTTTAACATTAAATCATATATCTTATTTGTTAATTCGACATACCTAATAATAAAATTTCTATTAAAGTAAAAAGACTTATATAGTCGTTGAATAATTTTTTTGTTCTGTATTTTTCTTTATTATATTATCCAATATTTATTATTCTTAAATTTTTAATTAAAATTTTTATTAGCATATTACTTTGTTTAATATTTTGTTGTATATTTTATTACTCTTTTAATATGTTTTTTTAAGTTTATTCTATAGTTCTCAATAATATTGTCTGAATTTTAAAAAAAATCTCTGTTAAATTGAAGTGATTATATAGTCCTCAAATAAATTTTTTATTTTGTATATTTCTTTATTATACTATGCAATTTTTAGTGTGATTACAGTGTTAATAGTAATTTTTATTAGCATATTACTTTGTTTAATATTTTTGTGTGTCACTTTCTTTTTGTAATGTAATAGAAGATATATATTTTATTACTCTTGAAATATTTTATTTATTTTAAATTTTATTCACTTTTGTTCTCAATAATATTGTTTGAATTTTAATGAATAAATGCACTTTTTATTTATAAAAAATAATTTAAACAAAAGAAACAAAGAAATCAACTAACCTAAACTAATACTCACCCATGTTTAAGTAGTTAATTTTAGGTAGTTAATTTTTTATGTCTCCTTTTTCATTTTCTTTTTTTAAATTTTTAATTAATTATTGAATCTCCAAATTTGTAAGAGTTTTGTCTTAAAATTCAATACTTGTTAAATGTTTATTATTACAATTGACATCATCACATTGATTTGCTTCTCCTATTCTATATAGATAGATAGATAGATAGATAGATAGATAGATAGATAGATAGATAGATAGGTAGGTAAATATTGATATGGATATAGACTATCATATTAGGAAGAAACTACTCCCAAATTTGAATTGAAAGTATTTAAATTTTTTAATTTTAAAATAATTTTAAACTCCAACTTGAAACTACTCCCCAATTTAAATTGGCAATTTTTTATTTTTTATAATTTTTTTTATTGTAAAATAATTTTAAAACTCAAACTTTATTGGAGTTTTGTCCTAAAAATCTACACTTGTCATCGTATGGTTATGCCACTTGGCATCATATAATTATTTTACTTCTCTTTGTGTGTGTGTGTATATATATATATATATATATATACTACTACAACTACTATATTAGAAAGAAACGACTCCCCATTTATAGCCATAGAATAACTTTTTTGTTCTGTATATTTTTTTATTATACTATCCAATTTTATTATTACATTGTTAATAAAAAATTTATTAGCATATTACTTTATTTAATATTTTGTTTGCTAATTTCTTTTTGTAATATAATAGAAGATATATATTTTATTACTTTAAAATATTTTTATATTTTAAATTTTATTCTATTGTTCTCAATAATATTATTTGAATTTTAATGAATAAATACACTTTTTATTTATAAAAAAACAAAAATATTTTAAACAAAAGAAACAAAGAAATTAACTAACCCAAATCAACACTCACCCATGTTTGAGTAGTTAATTTTATGTAGTTAATTTCTAAATGTCTTTTATGTCATATGCCACTTGGCATCATATAATTATTTTACTTCTCTTTGTGTGTGTGTGTATATATATATATATACACATATACTACTACAACTACTATATTAGAAAGAAACGACTCCCCATTTATAGCCATAGAATAACTTTTTTGTTCTGTATATTTTTTTATTATACTATCCAATTTTATTATTACATTGTTAATAAAAAATTTATTAGCATATTACTTTATTTAATATTTTGTTTGCTAATTTCTTTTTGTAATATAATAGAAGATATATATTTTATTACTTTAAAATATTTTTATATTTTAAATTTTATTCTATTGTTCTCAATAATATTATTTGAATTTTAATGAATAAATACACTTTTTATTTATAAAAAAACAAAAATATTTTAAACAAAAGAAACAAAGAAATTAACTAACCCAAATCAACACTCACCCATGTTTGAGTAGTTAATTTTATGTAGTTAATTTCTAAATGTCTTTTATGTCATATTTTTTTCTTTTTTAAATAATTATCCAAACTTGTATAAGGTTTGTCCTAAAATATGACACTTTGTTTATAAAGATGACAATTACTTAATAATTGATCTAAAATATGACACTTTGTTTATAAAGATGACAGTTATTCCCCATGAGTATGCACGTATGCGGATGGTTGTGTGTAAGTGGATGTGCAAGCGAAATGGTGGATGGGAAGTCGGTACGTGATTTAGAGGATTAAATAAGTTTTCCTCTATTTTGTTATTATTTGTTTCATACCTTTTTTTTTATACATAATATAATATTTTAAAATTTCAATATTTTTGGAGCTTTGTCCTAAAGGAGTGCCACTTGGCTAATTGTTGCTATGCCACTTGGCTTAATATGATGCATTTTCCTTCTCCTTTTAATAGTATATAGATATAGATATAGATATAGATTGTTCTCAATAATATTATTTGAATTTTAATGAATAAATACACTTTTTATTTATAAAAGAAAAACAAAAATATTTTAAACAAAAGAAACAAAGAAATTAACTAACCCAAATCAACATTCACTCATGTTTGAGTAGTTAATTTTATGTAGTTAATTTCTAAATGTCTTTTATGTCATATATTTTTTCTTTTTTAAATAATTATCCAAACTTGTGTAAGGTTTGTCCTAAAATGTGACACTTTGTTTATAAAGATGACAATTACTCCCCATGAGTATGCACGTATGCGGATGGTTGTGTGCAAGTGGATGTGCAAGCGAAATGGTGGATGGGAAGTGGGTATGTGATTTAGAAGATTAAATTAGGTTTTCCTCTATTTTGTTATTATTTGTTTCATACCTTTTTTTTTATACATAATATAATATTTTAAAATTTCAATATTTTTGGAGCTTTGTCCTAAAGGAGTGCCACTTGGCTAATTGTGGTTATGCCACTTGGCTTAATATGATGCATTTTTCTTCTCCTTTTAATAGTATATAGATATAGATTTTTCTTTCTTTTTTAAATAATTATCCAAACTTGTGTAAGGTTTGTCCTAAAATGTGACACTTTGTTTATAAAGATGACAATTACTTAATAATTGATCTAAAATGTGACACTTTGTTTATAAAGATGACAATTACTCCCCATGAGTATGCGCGTATGCGGATGGTTGTGTGCAAGTGGATGTGCAAGCGAAATGGTGGATGGGAAGTGGGTACGTGATTTAGAGGATTAAATTAGGTTTTCCTCTATTTTGTTATTATTTGTTTCATACCTTTTTTTTATACATAATATAATATTTTAAAATTTCAATATTTTTGGAGCTTTGTCCTAAAGGAGTGCCACTTGGCTAATTGTTGTTATGCCACTTGGCTTAATATGATGCATTTTTCTTCTCCTTTTAATAGTATATAGATATAGATATAGATTTTGGTCCAGAATAAGTGTTCATTCACATAATCAAGGAATTAATTTTATTTTTTTAAAATTTATCCTTATTTACATATTCCAATATGTCAAGGTAACAATTAATTAAGATTAATTTAATGAATATATTTTTTTCTCTAGAAATTCGTATTTCCTTGATGGGTGTGTCAAAAGTAAAATGCATTATGAACCGGAGAGAATATTTATATTTTGGGTCGACCAAGCTATTTAATGAGGAAATAATACAAAATAATTATTAAGAATTTAAATATAAAAATAATTATACAAAGACGTTCGTATTTATATAACAGATTACTTAAAGAGTAAAAACTATGGGGGTAGCCACTTTTTAAAGTGGTATTTACTTTTTATTCAGCATTTCTAATGCTTAGCAATAGTAGTCACTAGTCTATTAAAATTAATATGAAAAGACTGTGTTACCATTTCTTCTATTTCTTTCATGTTAGGAAGAAGAACCGTGCCGAAAGGAAAACCAGTAACTAATAATACAAACTCACATCTTGTCACACACTCTGCAGTCAGAACAAGATGAATCGGATCATAGTGATCACTATCTTAGTCCCTTTTTTTCAATAATACTTCTAAAACTAGTGACCAATAATACTTCTAAGATCACATTCTAAGCTGTGATATCCATTTTATTTTTGAAAAGGGGACTACGAATGTGATCTTAGAAGCCGTTATTTTTCTTTTTCTTTTGGTTGGTTAGGTTCTGTAGTCTTTTTTTTTTTAGTTGTTTCTTTTTGTTATTAGCTTTCTGTTGTGTAATTTGACATCAATCTCATATGAAAATTGCAATTATTATTATTTTTATTTTTTTGTGAAAAGATACAAATAACGTTTGGTTTTCTGCTACGTTATGGATCCTGAACTTACAGTTACAAGTTCAAAAGTTAAGGACACCTGGTCCTGAACTTCGAGTTCCAAGTTCAAAAGTTAAGGACACTTGGTCCTGAACTTAGCATTACAAGTTCAAAAGTTAAGGACACTTGGTCCTAAACTTAGACTAACACGCTCAAAAGTTAAGGACAATAGGTCCTGAACTTACCGTTACAAGTTCAAAAGTTAAGGACCATAGATCCTGAAGTCCTGAACTTAGACTAACAAGCTCAAAAGTTAAGGACAATAGGTCCCGAACTTAGGCTAAGAAGCCCAAAAGTTAAGGGCAATAGGTCCTGAACTTAAAGTTACAAGTTCAAAAGTTAAGGATAATAGGTCCTGAAGTCCTGAACTTAGACTAACAAGCTCAAAAGTTAAGGACAATAGGTCCCGAACTTAGGCTAAGAAGCCCAAAAGTTAAGGGCAATAGGTCCTGAACTCAAAGTTACAAGTTCAAAAGTTAAGGATAATAGGTCCTGAAGTCCTGAACT